AAGTAACTTTATATCTCATGTCTCTCACATGAATAGAGAAGGGGAAGGAAGGGGGCAGGAGATTCAGACCATGAAGATCTGGCTGATCTGTGCTCTGGGAGAAGAAACAAGCAGGTGTACTCCATTTGAAAACAGAGCCAGTGTGGTGTAGTGGTTTGAATATTGGACTAGGACTCCAGGAGACCAGGATTCAAATCACTGGGTGACCTTGGGCAAACCACATTCTCACAGCCTCAGAGGAAGGCAATGACAAACCTGCTCTGAACAAAATCTTGCTAAGAAACCCCCATGATATCTTGTTGTTGTTTTGTTACTTCAAGTTGTTTCCAACTTCTGATGATTAAGGCAAACCTATAATGGGGTTTTCTTGGCAGGTTTCTTCAGAGGGGTTTGTCATTGCCAGCCTCCGAGGCTGATAGAGTGTGATTTGCCCAAGGTCATTCAGTATGTTTCCATGGCTGAGATGGGATTTGAACCCTGATCTCCAGAGTCTTAGTCCAACACTCAAACCACTGAACCATGTAGACTCTCAGGTTTGTTTTAGGGACACCATAATTGGAAATAACTTCAAGGAACTTAACAAACTCCATTTGAAGGAACTCAACCAATTTATTTCTCCCCCACCATCCGATCTGAGACCAGCTGTTCCTTTATAATCTGAGTCACTTCCCTCCATCTCTTGGGCCTTGACAGGTGCAGGTGGTGGGAGGACAGGGAACTGCACATGTGGAGCTTCATAAACTTTAAAGATCTTGCCCAGAAAGTGCAACTGGCAATAGTTGTGCATTTTGAAAAATGAGTCTGTGTAATTAAAAAAATAGGTAGGAAATAAACATGTTGAGCCCAGAATGATATTACTGCACTATATTGATGGAAATATGCCAGTGAAGGTAGTACTGGTAGGAAGAATAAGGCCATGGATGTAGCAGCCATGAAAGTTGAGGCCTTGGAGAAACAGGCTGATCTGTTTCCCCCACCCAACCTTCCCTGAATTCACTGCGTACATTCCAAGGTTTGAGTGTAGAAAACATCAGTTTTGTATGTTATTAATGAAGAAAACCACACAAAAATATTATTAATATTTTTTGTCTACTTACCTGGCCACACCCTTGACAACAATCTGATGTTGACATATGTGTGCCAGTTTTCATCTGTGAAATGTTGAAAGGTATGCATGTATTGCGTAGTTTGGCCTTTCATCTGAAGAATGTTTTCCTCTGCTGCATACAAAGCTAAATATGGCAAAACAGAAGCACTTGAAGCAGAGGTGGATGATTTATGAGACAGATATATGAGTGTGCTAGCAGAGCATGCTAGCAGGGTACAAAACCCACAGGTACAGTCTAATGTAAGCAAGTCCCCAAGACAGAATATCTGCCAGCTATATGAGTGGAAAGAAAAAGGCATCTAAGGAAATAAAAAATGTAGTGCTCCATTTGTTTTTTTAAAATGATAAACAGGAAACAATTGTATATTTCTGTTTCTGTTGCTGTAAACCAAACAATCTAGCATGATAGTGCAAAAAATAAAAAAGAACAAAAGGGAACATTGTAGGCTTGTCAAGAGAATTTAGCATTTGAACAGGACACACAGAAAGAAAGAAATGTTCACAGTCTAGAAGGGGGTTAAGATTGACAAGAATTCCCCCCCCCCCCGGAAATTATAGCCAACCACAATGAAATAAGAGTTTGCTGAAAAAAATAACAGCTGAGTGCTGTGCAGTGTCTTATCTTTGAAATTAGAATAATAACCTAAAATTATGAGTGAAGCTGATTGCAATAGAAAGCTTTATTTTAGAATTGGATTTGAATGCATCATTTTCCTCACAAATATAGAAAATTCTGAGGTCAAAACTGAAGGATAAGCAAGAGAAAGAAGTAGATAAATGGCTAAACAGAGCCATAGGTTAAGTAGTTGCTGTGACTGGAAAGCTAGAGGTATTATTTATCTTAGGAAACTCATTGGCAAGCTCATTGTAGTTCTGAAGGGCTATAGGAAATGAGAAGTTAAAACAGCCTAGCTGCCCTGAATGTAAACATTAGGAAGATAAACAGCCAAGAATTTAGCAGCCAATACCTTAAGTCTAGAGCAGAGGTAGGCAACCTTTTTGAGCCCGGGGCCGGATTGCTGTCCCTCAGACAATTGGGGGGCTGAAGCACCAAAAATAAATAAATAAATAAAAATATATTTTAATTTTTTAAAAAAAAATTATTAAAAAATGTGCATGCACACTCTCTCAGCCCCAGAAAAGCCATGGCAAAACCCCTGTGGAGATTTTGTCAAGAAAACCCCAAGAACAAGTAATAACAACTATAATCAATATTATAATGGCGGACGGCGGCAGCGGGGGGCAGCGCCTGCGGCAGCTGCAGGACCAACCTGGGGCCAGTCCAAAGGCTTCGGGGGGCTGCATCCGGCCCCTGGGCCTTAGGTTGCCTACCCCTGCTCTAGAGCAGTGTGCTATAGAGGCTTGAGCTTTGGACTATGCAATGGACCCTAGGGTCCAAATCTCTATTCAGCAAAGAAAGCCCACTGGGTGACAGGCACTCTCAGCCTCAGAAGGAAGCAAAGACAAACTGCTATCTGGCCTGAAGCATTCATACACTTTACCATTTATAGTATTTTTGAATAACATACAACAATATTTAAGCCGTAATGGAAAATTATCAAACAAGCACCATGAAAGTACCATTTACTTGATGGAAGTGTCAGAATACCATTTGGATGCTTTTCCTTTGCTTTTCCTTGAGATTCCCAAGAGCCTAATAACTCTGCAGTTTCTAAATTTTTCCTGGATGAGGATACTTCTACCTTACCTTGGTCTCATTGTCACTTTCTGATCTTTCCATTCATAAGAAACAGTGATTTGATCAAAATCTGTATAGCTAACCCAGTAACTAAAACATTTCAGAAGAATGGGTCCACCCAGTTTAACTTTGCTAATTAAATTTGTGGCTGTTAACTTTGCTAATTAAATTTGTGGCTTCTCTCAAAGGGAAAACAAGGATTGTTTGAGGCATGCCTCTCAAGGACTGTCCCCATCTCTGCTTGGCAATATGCTTTGACTAGACATCCCAGTGGCAATATTCCAGCAGACATTTTATAAATGAATAAGAATCTATCAAGGGGTCGGGAGAGGTAGTGGAGCAACCTGAATGTAGAATCAAATGGATAGATATCGCCTCCCAATGAGTGGAGTTCTTATCATATGCCCTAAAAGGAAGAGCTTAAACCTGAGGTAGGAGTCTTGTAGCCTTTGAGATGTTGGATTGCAACTCCCAGATTTCCTCACCATTGGCTATGGTGGTTAGGAATTGCAGTCCAATATTAGAGAGCCACAAATCTTTTCCAAGATTCTCAAGCATGTTGGTTAATTTAAATAGTAGGAATTTCACATCAGAATTTCTTCTCTCCCCCCCCCCCATTACTTGCCCCTCTCTACTACTGTTATAGCTTTTAGTGTTCTGAGTATATGTACATTAATGTGCAGATGATGCTGGTGACTTACAGTGACTTACTATAATGTACTACTGGTGGTATACAGTGTAATGGAAGTCAAACATGCTCTGGCTGTAAAGAATGGGATATAGCGAGGAGTACCTGCCAGATGAAGTGGCCTCCTGATGGCTAAAGTATTGCTGTGTTGGCCACATCCCCCTTTCTTGGCTTGTCTTAGAAATCAGCCAGTCAAAGAATCTGCTGGCACAGGTTCTCTGTTGGTTGAGATTAACCTGAAAAAATTCCAGCATAGGAGTGGAGAAAGGACAAGATGGGAAGAGACAACCTATGCCAAATGCAAACTGCCCCCAGCTCAGGGACATAGCTGCTATGCAGATAGAAAGAAAGGCCAGGGCTAGGTTATTCATAAATAATTTCCAAGGATAAAGCTGTCTGCATTCAATGCAGCCTTAGAAGTGGCCTAGATTGGAGAGCAGAGCAATTCCAGCAAAAGTTATTTCCTTGGGATGGAGTCCTCCATTTACTCCCCATAATGTCTTGTAATGACACCTGGGACTGAATTAAAATGTCGATCCCAAGTAGACTAAACCCACTGATTTAAGAGACCTTGCTAAACCAACGCTGATGCAAATTCAGTTTATTCATCACATCAAATCTGTTATTGCTTGCTTGTTGTTAACTGTCCTTGAAGTCAACTCCTACTCATGATGAACTTGTCGATGAGATGTTTCCAAGACCTCCTGTCCATAACTACTCTGCTTAGGATATGTAAATTCATATATGTGCCCTCCCTAATTAAGTCTGTCATTCTAGCTTGTGGTCATCCTCTCTTTCTACTTCTCTCCACCTTTCCTAGCATTATTGTCTTTTCTAATGAGTCATGCCTTCTCAGGATCTGGTCAAAGTACCACAGCCTCAACTTGATCATTTTGGCTTCCAGGGAGATTTCAGGCTTGTTCTGTACATTTGTTTTTTGCTGTCTGCAGTATCTTTAGCACGCTTCTCCAGTACCACATCTTAAATGAATTGATTTTCTTCTTATGTGCTTTCTTCACTGTCCAGCTTTCACATCCATACCTACCCATTCTTAGTTTTCTTATATTTTGGCTGCACTTTATATTCTAATTGATGTTTTATCCTTGGAACTCTTTTACTATTTTGATGTACTCATTGTCTATGGAAGACCTAGTTAATGGGGTGCAAATGGTTGGATCCTTAGGCGGGAG